CCTTAAGAGTCACAAGTCTGCCTTATATTCCGAGGGCGCGGATTTGAGCCTTCGTAGAGACTGGTCGACCCTCGCAGTATCCTTAGCCCACGTGCAACTGATGGTAGTTGCGCGGCGGCATAGCGTGAATATTGCTTATCGGCGTACTGCTAATGCCTTGGACAGGTTCTGGAACAAACGTTTCTCTGGATACTTGGTTGTAGCTGAACCGGTTATTTTTCGCCAAAGTCGAGGAAGTAGGTGGTGTATTAACCAAACTAGCATCTTGACGACATTCAGGATGGGAGATATTGCCACAGCTGAGAGCAAGGCACTGGCTCGACAGCCATCTCAATAACCCCTCGGGACATCGAAGAAACCTCAGTGACGAGACACCTTTGTATGTTTGTATTGTGAGTTCGATTTAATGCTCCTCTGGTTATCACCTCCTGTTTTCGAGTTCTGCATCCCAGATAAATGAAGTATACTGAAAGTCACTATGCTGTATCTCTATCTTTCATATGTTCACTCCATTGTTTTTCCCATTTGGATTTATTCGTCTCTGATGCCACTACTGCATGGAAAGAAACCGTTACCGCTTATCATCTTTCTTCCGTGGTTTCCACTCCAGGGTCTGAAAGTCGGTGATCTGATTATCAAGTTCGATTCAGTAACTGCCTCGAATTTCAGAGGACTGCAAGATATCGCCTCGGTGAATCAGAACGCCGCTCCCCTGGTAAGCTTTGCTCCTCAGCAGCTGATTGGTATGGTCAATTGAAGCTTAAGTCGTTCCTTTCCTTGGGCATCTCTTTCTGTCTCTCATTTGCCGACTCTCGCAGTTGCATCCCCTGTCATCAAGCACTTAGTTGCCTCCTCTGATTCCACACTGCAGTCACCGAAAACACTTAGGTTTCTTTTGCATTCCTGAAATATGGCTTGTTTCCACTTCGGCATTTGAAACCTAATTTAAATGATCCTTTTTTCCTACTAGTGATTTACGTTCTTTTTGTTCACCTTTGCGGTGTCGTTAGACGGCAGATCCATAAGTCGTCGACGAAGCGCACTTTATGACGCGTTCCGACTTTATTTGAGCTCATCAAGGCTCGGAACCATTGAGACCACAGACTCGGTGACATACTGGACTGCTCTGTTGAATGGATCTCCACTCTTGACACCCGTTTCCGTTTCATGGTTCACATACTTGACGGAAATGTTCTTCGCTGTGTGCTACATGAATGATGTCTCATGGTGACTAACCGATCATATAGCCGTGGAACATGATGAATATGGTCAATGTACTGAATCCTCCGTGATATACCCTTCCGGACCGACGACATCTGGGACTGAACCATATCTTGCCTGGTGCCTTCTAGTTTAAGCTCTGCCCCCCCCCAGTCATGAACCCACATTTCCAGTGTTATTCTTTCTTTCCCCAATTTTTCGCCGTACCGTTTAGATTGATGACAGGTGTATCAACCACACTACGGTGTTTGAATCTTATTTGATTAACTGAACATTCACCAAGTGGGCGGTTGTTGCTGCGTTACTCCATGTGTATGAGTTGTACGGTGTGCCAGAAGCAGAGAACTTGACAAGCTGGAACATGCAGCGAATTCAGCGCACACGCAACCGGCAGAAAACCATAAGCGCTCGAGCCTCTATGGGAATATCATCGATCAACGCAATGGATCATGCCGACCAAACGAAAGCCCATGTTACCGCAACCAGATCGACAGTATTTTGTGGCCATCCTTCATGCCATAAAAATGTGCGGATTGGAATCCAGTGTAGCAATTTCCAAGGCAAGTTCCATCGCAAATGTTCCCAGCTCACAGTGAACCAGTTGAAGCTACACAGTAGTAAACCAGATTCACCGTGGTTCTGCTCTGGATGTATTGTCATCCCACTGGTAGATTGTATATGAAGTATCGCAGAACTACAAAAGACTGGTGGCAATGCTTGAACAACTGAGGAGCATCAAAAGCGTGACAGAGAGTTAATCTCAGTCATTTCCATCAAGCCCCGCGTTGAAACTGAGGAAGAAGGCTAGGCAGCGCGCTACAAATGCATCATCTGTAGCATTAAACGCCAATACCACCAGTTGCTCAAATATGCCTGAAGCAACCACCGCCAGTCGGATCGCAACGAGCGTGGTCAGGGCCGCGTCCACCCTCCAAACGGTTCCGAAAATTCAGAAGGGTTTCGACACCAATGATGGTTGGAACTTGGTTACTGCCAAAGTTGACCGAAAACCTAGACCTTCGTCCACTCCCATTGGAAGCTGTACCCAAATAGCATCTCGACTGTATACAGACCAGTTGGTCGTTTGACCTCAACCAGAGTTGCGCTTAGTATACCAGCTGTACTCTGCACCAAGATGCCAGAATCGACATCAAATTCCTTAAAAGAATAACAACTTGATGACTTGAACCAGTGGAACTCCATATGTGATGCTATAGGTATTGTAACTAAGCCCGTAAATTTGACACGCGTTACCCGTCACCCGAACTCACAGCCCTACAGTGAACTAAAACTTCTCTGAGTTGACTTCTGTCAATGAAGTAGAAGGTCTCCTGTTATCGACAGCTCGCTTCCGGAATGGGTCATGTTCCATCCGCCTATTTCCGGATATTCTGTGGAGCGAGCGCATGTAGGCGAAACGCAACTTGGACGAAAGCTGGAAGGCATCCGTAGCCAGGACCATCCTTGTACACGGGTTTCCCGAGGCTGGAAGTCATGATGAGCGCGAGGCGGCCACTCAAGACCAGGAACAATGGCGGTACATTCGCGAGACCCTCTCCCTGGAAAACTTCATTGGGCAATCAATCTCGAGGCTGCGCCGATTGTCAAACTACGAGAGATGTGGTCCGAAAATTGTTAAAGTGGTCCTTCAATCTAGACAAATGTCAGCAATGGTAGTGGAGGGATGGTGTGCGGGCCGCACTAGCCTTCCTTCCGGGCTCCGGATCAAAGCATCATCTGCTAAGCAAACATACGAGAACAGCCACTTAGTCAGACCACTTACTGACAAGAGTTCGGATAACTCCAATCTATTAACCAGGGAATGTGGCAAACACACTCCCTACATTACATACAAAGTGAGAAGCAAAGAGGTAATGGTAGAATCCAGGAATCGGGCACAGATGAGTTCGTCATCCTCCCACCCAAAAACGTGTATTTGTCTGCTTTTTACCGATCGGCACAGCACTATCCAAAACACCCATCCCACGATTCATTGTCAAAAGCGGAGCAACTTTCCTGCATGTACACCAATGCATAAAGTCTTTTGAATACGCTCGCCGAACTATGACTACGTCAAGCGTCACATGCCTGGGACCTCATATTCGTTACGGAAACCTGCTTGCACTCAAAAATTACCGATGCCGAGGTCACATTAAATGGTATGTCCCTTCTCCGAAACGATCGACCTAGCAAAGGCGGGGGGGGGTTAATGTTATACTACCGTAACGACCTGCATTGCGAACCCGTGGCCGATCCGAAAACGCTGACCATTGACTCACTCTGCTGCAGTCTGCGATTGGGACGCAACGGCACTTGCCTTTTGACCCTTGTTTATCGTCCCCAAAGTCTACCCCAGAGATGGACTTCCGCCTGGCATGATCCTTGGGATGGGTCCTACACGGACGATGTAGTTATGTTCCCATCTCAGGCGACTTCAATATTCATGATTTGCAAGTTCCGGCGTCCCCTACCGAGCAGTTTAAAGCCGACCAGCAAGAGTATGTTGCAAGCATTCCGCTCTTCAGCCATCTCAGTTTACCCACCCGGTTCAGAAACCATCTGTGCTTAATTTAGTGCTCAAGAACGATGAGCTGATGGTTGAGAAGCCAAGACTGGAGAGCCCTCTGGGGCGGAGCGACTATGTAACCATAATTTACGGCTTCGTGTGTTATGCGGAGTATCCACCAGAACATACTACCTTGTTTCGAACAATCACCCACTACGACTTGTGGGAGATGCCAGCTAAAAGTTTCCGGACGACTGTTCTAGTGAGAGTGCTTTGTTGGATTTTACTGGAAAGTTCAGTGACCTGATTAAATCTGCGTCGGTCAACAAGCCTCTTCCTTCCGCAAGGGCACAACCATTCATTCGGAGTAGAACCCGAAAACGCATGATAGTAAAAGACGCTGCGTGGCGTGTGTATAGAGCGAATCCTTGCCCTTACAAGTGGAGTAATTAAGTTGTGCATCGTAATCACTGTACCACATTTATGCGCGAGGACAAATTAGTACACCTGCAGAGTCCAGCGGAGAAGTTTTGTGTCAACAAAAAGCATCTGTGCAGACATGTGAACAGCCTCCGGAATGTGAAACGTGGTGTTCCCCCACTAATATCAGCGGATGGATGTGCTCAAACCGCCGAGGATGCTAGCAACGTTCTACGGTTACAAAATGCTCCGATTTTCCGACGTGCTCCAAGCATTTGTAACACCCGCCCTATTCTCCCAGATGCCAGCCTTTACACACGTCGTGTTTAGTTCAGCGACCATTTCGAGGAGGCTGCTCTCGTTGCGCACCCATAGTTCCCCTGGAATTGATAAGATTCCGTCGAGCGCTGCAGGTGGCAGCTACCAGAATAGGTTGACCAATCACGAGGTTTTTCCAAAGATGCCTCGAGGAACAGCAGGTCCCTAAAATGTGGAAGTAAGGCAGCATTACCCTGATTTTCAAAAGTGGTTGCTGTTCAGGGCTAGCCAACTATTGTCCAGTGATTCTCCTCCCGGTACTCTCTAAGATGATGCATTGGATCATAGCTGAGGCTGTAATGGGCTACTTCGAAAGGTCTAACATCATAGCACAGAATCAACACGGATTCCGTCAGCATCGGTTATGTACTACCAACCTACTGTTTGCCCGTGGCAGTTGGACTGATATAGCCGACAGTGGGACCGGCATTGATGTTATCTAGCTAAACATTTCCAAAGTATTCGACCGCATAGATCACCGCATACTTCTCCAAAAGCTGTAAGGATACGGAGTTGGAAACTCTGTACTTGGATGGATCGGAAACTTCCTCTTCCCGCGGCGCCTTCAGTTTGGAGTTTGATGTTCATTTTCTGATCCAATTGATATGGACTGTGGTGTTCTACTAGTGTCGGTGTTGGGGCCGCGGTTATCCTTATTCTTCATTAACGACCTTACGAGTCTCATTAAGTCAGCTTTCCTGCTTTTTGTCTATGACATCATGATATGACGGGCAATCGACTGTCATGCAGATCCCGATGTGTTGTAACGAGACTTAGACTACGCTTTGGAATGGTCAAAGTGAATGTACTTCCGTTTAACACGGACAAGTGCAAAACCGTGCATGTCCACCATAAACCCACGTACGCATATAAGCTTGGATGCGATATGCTGAACATGGCCTCACAAGAGTGAGACCTTGGAGTGGTAATTCAAGACGACCTCAGCTGTTCGGCGCAGTCCTTGAAAGCGTCCAAAACCGCCAACTGACTTTTTGGTCTGTTACGGAGGGCGTTCGGGAGGTTTGATCCCTTCATCTTCCCCCAAATGCCCAATTCGTATGTGACGCCTCATGTAGCGTACGCGATCCAGGTTTGGTAAGCATGGTTTAAACGCGACCTTGTTGTATTAGGGCCGGCACAGCGACGGGCAATGAAAACTGTGATGGGGTTATCCCACTAGCAATACTATAGGCGACTGAAAGCCCTAGGAGTGTACAGCGGAAGATATCGCCATCTATGCAGTGACCTCATGTTGACGTTCCATATTTTGTAAAAGCCCGTTCACGCTTGTCGTCATCTCCTGTAGCTTGGCTGCAACACAGAATTGTGGAGTCATAAATTAAAACTTGCTACCCAATACAGTCGGCTGGAATGCCGCCGGAATTACGTTTCCCTTCGAGGTTGTCAACCGTGGGACGCTCTTCCGACTTTTGTCATTTCAGCGCCCACGCTACCCATTTATTAAAAACGATTCGACGATACTTTACACCATTTATATTACTTGATCTGATTTCTATTCATTGAGTGACGACAAGACGCAGACAAACATTGTGCTCACCAACTCCACGAAATCCAGTTAGACAGATTTACCTATGTGTTAATGTGAATAATATGGTGAGTCCAGAGATGTGTTTGCACTTTTATGTAACTTCACTGAACTAACCTTATTCCCACAAACCATCCCAAGGGACTTGTCAAGCCTTGGCTTTTTTATCCGTATTATACCATTGTTCCATTGTTGATTGCGTGAATAGCTTCTCAGCGTTTGGCTCTTCAGCAGATCTGTAGCGCATGTTCGGGACCTTGTTAATCACAACAGTTGGTGGGAAGCATGCTCTCAGGTTCGTCGTTTTTGTTACACTGCACCATCAGTACAGCTCAACAGCGGTACGCTGGAATTTTCTCGTGACACTGCGTTTGAATGCAATCATTTGACAGGACGGGTCACTATTGAAAAAATAATATCTTGGAACCTAAGCGATTTCAGTAGGCATGTACGATCAATGAATCTACGCACCGCAGCCTCTCCATAGCCATCAGAAACTAGTCATGTGATGTCTTCGAGAGAGTTCACCTCAGCTTTTCACTGCACGACATCATCATCAGGTTTCCTAACAAGTAACACAACACCACACGTAAGTTAAGGAGATTGCCATGCTACGTCACGACAGCAGTCACGAATTGTGCCCTGTATAGGGTCCAGCCTATCCCAAAACTTCTCGCTTGTATGCCATTCTGGAATAAAATGTGATTGCTGGTGAAATCAAAACAAACCATTTTACTGAAACAGATTGCGGTGAATTGGTCGTCGGTGTATGGAGCACCCGCCATGTGTTTCGGATTGCAATACACAATCTCAATTGTGGCTTCGGTTGACTTTGAGGTCAGCCTGTGCCATTCCGATCACTGGGACCATCACCGAAGTTGGAGGGTTTCGGTGTGACTCTCTCCCATCCCTTCACTCCACGACCAACAGTTTCGTCTTGGTTTAGACCCATCGAGTGAAGCTAGTCTGATCTGGGAGTGAAACGTATGCAGATGAGTACAAGCTAAGTACAAGCAATCTGCGCCTAATGATAGGCTGTACTTCACAGCGGGTAGCGGCGCTACGTTTGTTAGCGCCTCATACTCGGATTCATTTCTTACAACCTGTGTGGTGTTGAGTGCTCCGTCGATTAACCATAATAATATGATGGGTGGGACCGTGAAATTCCCAAGAAATCCGACCCAACATCGCCACCTCTGAACGATCACCGGCTGATTGTGACGGTATGATGTTAATAATCAGTAGCTAACTTGTATCTGAACTCATCCCTCATTATCACGATTTCCCATTTTTTGGACCATTATTTCAACGAAGCATTGATACAGAAAATGATGTAACGCTATTACCCATTCTCGCATGGTTTTTTGGCTGTTGCTGCAAATCCTGGCTAGTTCAACCCGCTTTCTGTTTCTTGCAATTGACCCTCTCAGAGCGCAATACGTGTGGATCTCGTCAGGCCTTCCATGGCAAATCAGATGTTCCATCTGCGAATCCTCAAGCCTGCAGGCGGAACCAGTCTAGGGTGAGCTAGTTTTCGATTACACCTGAATGCATATATTATTTTTGCGCTTTTTTCTTAATTTCATGTTATGCCACTATTGTGAATGCGATCTCCGTGCGACAGGAATACAGTCGTGTGCGTTCGCTTATCCATGAACGCTGCTTGCTGTAGGATGGTGGGTTTACCCCTGAAAGCACCCCCTTCTCGCCGACCTGCTTCTTCATCTTATCCTCTCTCGCTCTCACTAATCGTGGGTAATGTGGGTGAAACTGCGTATTTTGTGACGGGAGGGGGGGGACGGTAGCAGAATCCTTCTTTGAGATCGTGTCCTGCTTCGGTTGGCAATTCAGTTCCAACCAATTTTAAGGTATGTAGGATGTTCGTCTTGATCAGTTCCAGGAGACAATGTAACGGACCATTTGACGAGATGAAACCTTCTCTAGGAACACTGTTAACCGATATCCATGGTCCATTAGAATTGATTGATTCGTGCTTGAAATCTCACTGGCGCTATGCAGATGACTTATTGCTTAAAGTTGACCGGAGAATCATCTTGGCGCATGAGGTAGAACGTTTCAATAACAGACATTCCAATTCCTGCGCTCGCATGCGAGGAATATAAATAAATAAATCAATTTGTATATTTACCGACGAACGGTACACGACCCCATAATGCAACAAGTAGGTAAAATCACTGCATGTAACCATGAACAGTGGAGAGAACGAGTCCGTTTGGATTACTATACACAGGGGATGGTGCAATGGTCGGATTCACGCAGTTTTGTCCCATTCAGTGTACGTTGGTACACGCCATGGTATATCGTACACGTAAGATCTGCAGCGAAGACACTATCACATATGGATTACAGTCGATCAAATACTCACATCTCGAGAACGACTATCTGGATGGCCACATAAGGCTCAGATGTCCACAGGGGATTGCACAAACAGTTGCAAATAAGCATCTCTTTCTGGCTCCCAGTTTTGGAAGCGCCAATGTAGCTCCGATCTGCAAGCGATCACCGGTACAAAACTACAACATGATCTTTAGGGTAACCCACCTAAATTCGGTCGCTTGGCTGTTATCCATGCACGTTTTTGATTAGGAAACAATTCGCCCATACGTTTGTTTCTCTGAGTTTGCCCATTTGGACGTGCGGCCAGACCTTAATGTCAAAGAGTCACGAGAGATCTGTCAAATTGACCAGCATCATGGCTAACATAGCTAATACCATCGCTGCAACGAACAATTTGTTCAACGCCGGTCATCAGGCTGACTATAGAACCGATTTAGAGATACGATGTAGGACACAGCCGCAACAGAGCCATCAATTTAAAGCTCATCTGTTTGGTGTTTCTGTTGACATTAGATTACCTGACGAAACATCCATTTTACACGTTAATTTTACCCCGGGGCGATTGATGCGATTTTCATACTAATGCTTCGCTTGTCTGAAGTCCACTTCATTTAATGTCGTTGAACAAAACCCGACATTCGCCCCTTCCTCTCCCCCCCCATTCCGAACTGTAGTGGCACTAACAAAGTGTTGCATTCGATTTATCCAAACGTTTCACCCATCTGCTTGATTGCCCTTTGTCGACAGTCCTCAGGGGAACGCGGGTAAGCTATGGGGGCGAGAACATCTGTCCGTTTTTGCAGGTGTTTTGACCCAAAAACGACCACTCTTTCTTTGAAGTGTTAATCAACGAGGCACTCCAACGACGACCACTTTATTTTGTACCTGTTTGTTGATTTGCTTCCCGTCCCCGGGGGGAGCACTGTTTTGTTTGCATTTCACGTACTTAGGTGACGAAAAAACATTTGCGTTATCTGTCGTTGTTGTTGAATTCTCTCACCTACACTGAATACGAAAGTCGTTTATATTGTCACATTGAAAATTATCTCATCTTTTCCATATTTGTAGCATGCACGTCAGTGTTTTACGATGACAAGATTTGGTGGCCGTTGGCAAACAATCCCACGTTCCAGTGCGCATTCATCAAACTTGGTCTCAGCCACAATGGCATTGTATTGATTGTGAAAACAACTCACAACCGTTTTCTACATTTGTTTACAAAATCTTCCGCTTGTTGGCATAGTCTTTATCACTCAACTGCTCCCCCGATTTTCTGCCGTCTCGAGTGGAATCATTCTTGTTGATGCGCCATTTCTGAAACATTTATCCTTATTTTCTTATTGTGTATGCCTTTGGAGAAAAATTGTACTGGCGTTTCGAATTGCATAACGAATATCTGCTTACCAACAGGGTTTATCGTCTGATTTGCACAAGGTTCAGTGTCCTTGTGCTTCTCGAGTTTCTCATCCGTAGACCCTTCCCAACGACCATGACGTTTTATTTTTCAGTAAGTTTGGACTCACTCTACTTGTAGAATCTGAATTCCATGGGCTTTGACGAAGTTGCGAAAATGTTTACTTCAGTAAGTCATCCTGGAAAGTTATTAAACACCTTGCAAATACCTCGCGAAAAGTTTGGGTGACAATCTGTTGCTGGGGAATTGGGATGTTTTCCACGAACTTAGACCACAGTCACAACCGCCACACACTCAGCTCTGCACCAATTGGCCATTTCATCCTATTACGACTGGTCACCAGATCTCAATAAATAAATGCAATATTTATTCTCGACTACGCGAAGCACGCCTACACAGGGTTAATCATAGTAGGAATACAAAATGTTATCCGTTAATGTACAAGGGAACAATAAGTTTGGCACATATGTTGATATATTAATGTATATTTATATGCATGTAGGCATATGTAACCATGTTTATGGGATTTTTAAATGCTTTCCTGCACTTTTGTTCGTGTCGCCAGTGCTAAAAAGTGTTTGGTGTTTATGGACTTGAAGCGGTTGTGCGGATGAGCAAGGAGGGGACTTTAGTTGGTGGCGAGTCACAACTGCTACGTTACAATGTTGTTAAACAGACGTTTGTTGCTTTTCATACGTAGTACGCTTGCTAGGAGAAAACCCACAGCGTCCTGGAACACTGCCGCCGAACTACTTACTGAAACGGGGTAAACCCGAACCATCCAATTGGCACCACGAGGAGGTTGTTCATGGTTTTTAAGTCGGCGGCGGAAGCCACTGGGCAACGGAAAGTCGCGACGCGCTTACTTTGCTGAAGAGGAATCAGCGCGTTTCATTACATACTTCCGTGCAGGGACCAGGGTTTGTCCTCAAAATCAAAGCTTTTCTTACTAAACCACCGAGAATTTGATGATACTTAAAGCCACCCGGTCACTGATTCTGCTTCTGAAAGATTTGCCGTAGCTGTGAGCCACCAGACCACCCAATGGGGCTTGTAAAGCAGTACTTCTTAACCTGTATGAAGATGTTGTTCACTGGGGCGCAACGGCCAGTCAGCCATCTTCAGAGTGTGTGAATGATAGGTTATTTGCAGCTTTTCTTAAAATAACTCAAACTTCTCCATTATTTCCTATCACTGTGCCAAAGTGCCGAAATCCACTCCCGCTTTCGTGTTTCTGCTTTGAATGCATAATTATTATTATAGTTCAGCTATGACATTTCCCATCCGCTTCCTTTGTGTTAAATAAATAAATAAATTTGTATATTTGCCGTCAGACGGTACACGGCCGCTGGGGTAAAATGGAATCATACAAGGCGTATATATAGGTACGGGAATTTGGTCATAAATCTGTTACCAAATAAAACTAATAGCAATATCATCTGTATCAAAGCATGTAACTAACTACTTAATCATTATTGCTTAGCCATCAGTGACAAATCATTACTGAGTGGTCAGTGATAAATGTAACAAACTTAACTACGAATACAAGCTTGCCAAGCAACACAGCCGGATGGCGCCTCGATCGTCTGTCATTGTTCTTTTAAGTCAGGTACACTTGTTCACCAGGTCGAATTGCAGAGCTGAGTGAACACTAAGGTAGAAGCATAGGTCAGTCGACCAGGTAAACGATTGACCGAAAGTTTACAAGCTTGAAGGGACTAAACAGGCGGTGGTGGGAAGTTGTCATTCAGTACGGAGTTGGGAGAGATGGTCGAAACAGTTGATCAGCCACTCATCTGTTCATGTTTGACCAGGGATTACACATCAATCCAAGAAACAATGAGCTTGGAGCATGACACAGCGTGAATTAGCCGAAACCACAGAAAACATACCAGCGATTATTGGGACTAAGCAATAGCAAGCGCCTTATTAACGTACAGCGCCTCTTGATTTGATAAGAATTGCCAAAACAGCTGTTTTCTTCATTTGATTGATAAAAAGTAATTAAACTAATATTCTTTTCTCTGCTTTAAAGCAAAACATGCAATAGTTAATAGGTAATTATCTTTTTAAACTAAGACTTTTTTGGGAGTAATTGCTTGTAGTGAACCCACTTTGCGGGTAACAGCCTGAGAAAGGTTGTCAACCACTGGTCTCTTGTCAGTGGAGGCAACATTGTTCCCAAACACTTATTTATCATTTTTAATGTATTCGCTTCAGCAGCTCAACAGTTACATAGCGCAACCGCCAAGCCGGAAAAGCACCAGATGCGTTCCGACCTATTGGGGCTCGTCAGTGGAGCGCATCCCTCGGTCCTCTACTGAGGATCGAACCCATGACCGCAAGAGGCTTGTAGTGACCTGGAGATTCCCACGTATGACTGTTTAAACTATTCTAAAATGTATTAAAATTATAGCTTTCTTATGTATTAGGGAATTAGGCGGTTTGCCTGTTGGAACGTTGTTCCTATTTGTTTGAAACACGAACACGATCTCCGCCTTTGGCGCGCGACTCGACTGCGAACGATGCTCCGTCCACGCACTCAACGCCCAACTACATCCTCCCTAGCTAGCTCTCTTCTGGTGCCCTATTTTTAGCATTAGCTCTCCTCCCGTCCAATAAACATTTTCCCTAGCTTACTTTTGTGTGTTCTACCTATTGTCTTTTGTTGGCCGTCTAGTCTCGTGCCGGATATATAGTGTACGATCATCGCGCTATACTTGATGATCCCGACGTGACTGAATCGTTGAAAGGTCTGGGCTGCGTTGCGAAGACCGAACGGCATACACAAAATTCGAAGAGCCCAAACGGCGTGATTACGGCAGTCTTCCGTATGTCTTCCTCAGCGACTGGAATCTGGTGATACGCGCGAACCAGATCGACTTTCGAGAACACCCGGGTGCCGCGCAGGCTTGCCGTGATGTCCTGAATGTGAGGAATATGATAGCGGTCGTAAACAGAAACGTTTTTGCGCGCCGTAATCACCACATGTACGCCAATCTCCTGACTTTTAGGGCACGATGATCGTGCGCTATAAGCTGACGCCAACTAGCCAACAGCTTAAGCCACTGAGCCATGGGGTCGGTGGTTGAGCTACATAATTTGCAAGCTAACTGGAATACAGCACGAACCATCTTCTATTGTCGCGCAGGTTCCTAATTGAAAACTCATCACAACAGCTTCCAAATTAGAGTCGTCCACGTATGCGGAAAAGCACTAATTGGCTGCTTTAATCGGTTAGGTTACGTTAGTAGTGTGCGTTCATCGGACCCATCAAGATTCGAACGCGTGACTACCAGAGGATTGAACTGCCAGACAGCAGCTCGTGCCACTGGGCCATGGGAGACAGCTTCGGAACGTCATGATTTACAAGCTTACTGTGATATGGCGCATCTTATCTCTGTCATGCAAGTTACGAATGTTGCAAGGGACAGAGTTAGCACCGAAAGACACGACGTCCACTAACAGTAGCTATGTACGACATGGCATTTAGAAACTGTTAGGGCGGATATATTTTGATGTACTCATGAGTAGGAGACTTTCATAGAATTAATTCAGGTACGTCGCAGCCAGCTTCCAAATCAGATAGTCGTCCATATGCTCAGAAAAGCAAAAGACTACAGTTTCAGTCTGTTGGGCATCGTCAGTAGTGCGCATCCATCAGGACTCGAACTCATGATCACCGGCGGCTGGCGTCACTAGTCATGCTACTGACAGTGGCATAAGCTGCTGGCTGTCGATTCAAGCCGATGAATGCGTACACCTACGGAATCCTTACAGGACGGAACGCATGTCTAGTGCATATCTGGACGTGTGCAGAACCATCTAAGGCGGAAACAGCTGCGATAAACTCAACCAATAGCATCATAAGTACCTAAGTGTCTGCCTACACGTTAGTATCATCACTGGCCCGTAGTCTAAGTGTAACGCGCCTGTTTCTTAATCTGGCGATGTGTGTTCGAGCCTGCGTATGGGCGGTGCGGTCCTCGCAGTATCCTTATCCCACTTACGACCGATGGTGATTGCGCGGCAGCCAAGCGTCGGTACTACATACCGTCGTATTGCTGATGCCTTTCTTTCCTTACCTCTAGAAATTAGTTGTCCATCACTGTTTACTGAACTAATGCGTCCGTCTATCCGAGTCCACTGTCAGGGCCGACCACACCACTCTTAGCGTTAATGACATTTGGTTATCCAGATGCTCTTAATAGCTGGTTTACTCTTCTTGCTTTTGTATGAAGAGAGCCCATTTTTCCAAGAGGCTCCTCAACTGAACGACATCCACAAGCTGCCATCAATTCTCCTTGGACTGGAGAAACGTGGCCTTTGTTATAACTCGAGCCTACCATCTTAGTAGATAAACTACATTTGGGTTGTAAGATTTATAAGTAAACACATATTGTATTTCTCGACACCCTACGATACAGACAAACTGGTTGGTTTTCCTATTTTCTACAACGGGGTAAAATATGATAGAAGATTGTTTGAGATTTTCAGCTCTGTTCTCAGTGCAGCTTTCGGGGTATTCAATCAAATAAATGTATTTGTAAGAGGGAGAATTTGAGAGTACTAATACAATTCTCATCAAAAGGCAAAGTGAAGTTATACGGCCATCCGTGAAACCGTCTCCTGAAGACCTACTTCCACACGCATCCGTCCGTGGACCGAGGTGGCTCAAAAGCAAGAAAGCCAACACCATGGGGCTACCGTTATGCGTACAGTGAATAGACACTCAAGCCCATTTTAACATCCGACCCAGTGGAGCCCGGCACTTATTTTTTCTCTCACCTGTGAGTCTGTGACAATTCATCTTAGGTGTGTGTGTGTGTGTGTTATTATTTGGCTCTGAAGCTTTAATCCATCACTGCTGGCGATCAGCCCGGTCGTGGCCAACAGAATGAGATGTCGTCTGATCGTTGTCTGTTTCTACTTGTACAAGTAATCTCAAGGAATAAGTAATCGTTCGTGGTATGTATAAATATGGCAGCTCGTGGATTCATCATGTGAGACCAAACGAAAAGCAGAGAAAATATTAGCGAACTGG